GATAGCGATACGACTTCTGACGGGTCGAGTGCCGTCGCTACCTCAATACGGACATACACAGGAGGAGCATTCTTGTCTCGTCGTGACCTCAGCCTTAGCACAGAGTCGTTGAATCTTCTCTTGAGAAAATATATGTCCACAGCTTCACTCTCGAATTCCCCGGCTTGAACGTATAACCGTTGCATCAGCCGTGGGCATTGCACATTTTCACCAGGACGAAGATCACGACAGACCCAACCAGCACTGTCATCTTGATCGAGCCCAGGGGGAACCAAGCGAACCGACACGTTGCGGCACAGTCTATTGCGGACTTGCAACGCCCACTCCAACAGAATCTCAAAGGAGAGATCCGAAGCCCTTGTCTTCCGCCCTTGGCTGCTAACAGCAATAACTGTTGAGGTTAAAGACACCTTGCCATTCACCGCGCCTTCAATTGGTGCGTCGAACTCAAACGACGACCCAGGTAGCTGGCTGTAGTCCTTCATTAACGTAGACTGATACCGAGCCAGACTCTCCAAAGTAACGCTCGGGAGTAATGGCGATAAGCACTTCTCCAATCGCACCCACGACGCATCGTATTCAGAACCGTGCCAGAGGGACTCCTCTATAATAGGCTTGCAGACGTCCCAAAGGCCTAGCCAAGGCGATGCGTATTTTTTCTCCCCGATAGTCCTAGCTTTGGACCGGAAACATTGCTCGGGCAGAAGCCAATCGATAGGAATCGCTTCAGCATCGCCGGGCGCCAACACCAAATGAGGCGGCGTGCTGAGGTTGCGGACGGACATTTCTGCCCGGGTCGAACTCTGAGTGCCTCTTGTGTGCTTTGATGCACCAACCAGCTCATTCTCGTCAAGGCTCGTCCATTGCCCTCGCCGGGGCCTCACAAGAACAAACGTAGCACTTGTGTCGTTAACCACAGCGTACAGAGACGATATGAAGACATTCCATAGGGACAGCGTAGGGTGAAGTTCCACCCTTACCATAATGCGTACCGTAGCCCAATCTCGGCGCACTCGGCTAAGAATGCTACTCTCGTTATCATCGGCGTTCTGTGGAGGAGACAGACCCCTGGCTACGC